CCGGACGCCCCGACGGCCAGCGCCGTGCCGTCCGCGCTCAGCGACACCGAGTAGCCCGAGTAGTCGTACGCGGCCTCGCCGTCGATGTCGTCGCCGCGCTGAATCCACGTATCGTCGTTGGAGTCCCACGCGAACACGCGCGCGTGGCCCGCGCTGGAGCCGGCGCCGTCGTTGTAGACCGCCCCGACGGCCAGCGTCGCGCCGTCCGCGCTCAGCGATACCGAGTAGCCCCGGTCGTCCGCGGCCTCGCCGTCGATGTCGTCGCCGCGCTGCTTCCACGTCTCGTCGACGGGGTCCCACGCGAACACGCGCGCGTGGCCCGCGTTGGAGCCGGCGCCGTCGTTCCCGGACGCCCCGACGGCCAGCGTCGTGCCGTCCGCACTCAGCGACACCGAGTAGCCCGACTGGTCGAACGCGGCCTCGCCGTCGATGTCGTCGCCGCGCTGAATCCACGTATCGTCGTTGGAGTCCCACGCGAACACGCGCGCGTGGCCCGCGCTGGAGCCGGCGCCGTCGTTGTAGACCGCCCCGACGGCCAGCGTCGCGCCGTCCGCGCTCAGCGATACCGACCTGCCCGACTCGTCGCCCGCGGCCTCGCCGTCGATGTCGTCGCCGCGCTGAATCCACGTATCGTCGTTGGAGTCCCACGCGAACACGCGCGCGTGGCCCGCGCTGGAGCCGGCGCCGTCGTTGTAGACCGCCCCGACGGCCAGCGTCGTGCCGTCCGCGCTCAGCGACACCGAGTAGCCCGACCGGTCGCCCGCGGCCTCGCCGTCGATGTCGTCGCCGCGCTGAACCCACGTCTCGTCGTCGGAGTCCCACGCGAACACGCGCGCGTGGCCCGCGCTGGAGCCGGCGCCGTCGTTGTAGACCGCCCCGACGGCCAGCGTCGCGCCGTCCGCGCTCAGCGATACCGACCTGCCCGACTCGTCGCCCGCGGCCTCGCCGTCGATGTCGTCGCCGCGCTGCTTCCACGTCTCGTCGACGGGGTCCCACGCGAACACGCGCGCGTGGCCCGCGTTGGAGCCGGCGCCGTCGTTGTAGGGCGCCCCGACGGCCAGCGTCGTGCCGTCCGCGCTCAGCGACACCGAGTAGCCCGACCAGTCGTCCGCGGCCTCGCCGTCGATGTCGTCGCCGCGCTGAATCCACGGCGCGGGCGTCGGAGAGACCGACCCCCCGTAGCCGTAGCCGTCATCGCCGTAGACGTAGCCATCATCGCCGTAGCCGTCGTCGCCGTAGCCGTAACCGCCGTAGCCGTAGCCGTAGCCGTCATCGCCGTAGCCGTAGCCGGTGGGGGACGGGGGGGACGGCGCGGGCGTCGGGCTGGTCGTGGGGGCGGCCGTCGGGCTGGTCGTGGGAGCCGAGGTCGGCGCGCCCGTGGGGGCGGCCGTCGGGCTGGTCGTGGGAGCCGAGGTCGGCGCGCCCGTGGGGGCGGCCGTCGGGCTGGTCGTGGAGCCGCGGTCGGCGAGAGCGGGG